CATAAATACCATGTCAGTGTCCCTTTAAACCTGTAATAGGTTCTGCGTTTTTGAATAAAGCCAATAAAAACCAGAATACACTTGCCGATAAAAGATGTTGTTATTTATAAATTTTGTCAATTTAGATTTGTCGTAAAAACTCAAAATTGTTTGGGTCTGCCAGCTTTAATAAACCCAACAGGCCTTTATATCACCGTGGTTCCGCGAGTCAGCTTACGATTCACCTCGTTTTTAGTGTCGATTTCCAATTGTAGGTGTCACAAAATTGCTGTTTAGTCTTTTATAATAAAAATAAGCTAGCCTCCCTACAACCACAGTCGAATATGTTTCACACACGAAAAGGCTCCTTTGCTAAATTTGGAAACTGCTGAATTCTACCTTTCATTCACTTCGGCTAGAAAAGCCACTCTGAATTTTATGTACCACAAACTAAAACTCCGAAAAACTCTGCAGGCATTTTGCTCAGAAATGAAATCGAATACGCAGAACCCCAAATATGTTACAAATAAACACTGAGCATACTCCTTTTACGACAATGCACTCAGTTTAATAGTCGAAGTTCACATATATAAAGAATGTTACACACAGAAGATGACAAAGTATTTAATTGCAGAAACACAAGTGATCACTATTATATTCAAATAAGGAAGAGAAAATGATGGTATGGCCCTAATCATGACGTCCTATTTCAGGCATGACCTGCTGCATACCACATTGTGGTTCAAGCAGACGGAAGCCAGGTCAAGAAAGAAACTTTGCACTCCACGAAATACCATCAGACCCTGATGAACGAGCGAGCTGGCTACAAGAAATCAAGAGAGATGACTGGCTGCCATCAATCTACTCCATGGTTTCCAGTCCGCACTTTGTGCCATCCGACTATGTTGAGGGCAAACGCCGGAAGCTGAAGGAGGGCGCTATCCCAAGCATCTTTTGGAGCATGCCGCCTTCAAATATCACTAAGATGAAGGACGCTATCAGAAGGAAGTGCAGCACTCCATATTCATCAGAAGTTCCCAAGAAGAGGCAATGCCTGGACACAGGCAGTTCGCAAGTGATTCATGCGACATCAAGCTCTACAGTGGACACTCCACCGACCTCCTTTCTGTGCAATGAAGGTGCTGAACGAATCCAAATCATCTGGACATCTCCAGCGAGCACCTTGGAGCCTCAAAACAGGCAGGCATCAGAAGTGTCAGAGAGCAGGCCATGCCAACAGCCAGTGCTGTTCACCCATCAAGGAACACAGGCAGACGTTCGAAAGATGTCAGCACAAATTACCGTAGAGAAACGTAAATGGACCCGACGAGTCACCACTCTGCGAAACCAAGTGGAGAGACTCAAGAACACTGTTGACAGATACAAAAAAGACATGGAAAAGTTGCAAAACCTGGGGGAAGATGATGATGTCACAAATTTTCTTAACATCCGTGAACAAACAAAGGAAAAGAACATGTCGGCTATGTTTCTAGTCGACCAAGTAACGAACTACCACAAAAAAATCCCAAGGCGGACAGAACATATACCATCCGTCACTGCATTTTGCTGAGACACATTTCTACAAAGGCCTATGAACACATAAGGTCTGAAGAGCTTTTTAAACTTCCCAGCAGGAACACTCTGCAAAGCTACATTGGAGCTGCCTCAGGTCAAACTGGCTTCAGCGACCTGGCGAAGGCTCGGCTTCAAACAGAACTGCACAACCTGGCAAACACACAATCAAGGACATGCTCTCTCATTATTGATGAAATGCAGATCAAACAGAGCTTGCAGTACAACAAGCAGGAGGATGTCTTTGTGGGCCAAGTGGACCTGGGACCATTGACTGAAAAGACCAAGCAGTCCATCCTGGCAAATTCGCTGCTGTGCTCTCTCATGAAAGGGCTCAGCATTCCATACCGGATCCCTGTTGCCTACTTTTTTACCAACGGGTTAACAGGAACCGAACTGGCCAAGCTTCTGCTTCATGTCTTGAGCAAGGTGGAAGACGTTGACTTCAAAGTACTCCGGATTGTAACTGACAATCACCGAGTGAATGTCAATGCAATGAACCAGCTTTGTGGGGGACTCCTTACACATCATATCCTCCACCCAAATGACCCGGAGAGGATTCTGTTCCTTAGCTTTGACTATGTTCACATCTTAAGAATATACGGTTCCAATTCCTGGAACGCAACTTTGGAAAGGACAATGAGATCAAGTCCTTCTACCTCAAGAAGTTGTACGAGCTCCAGAGAGAGGCGGCTGTCAAGCCAGTCAGGTTCCTGAGTCGCAAACATCTTTTCCCTAGCAACATAGAGAAAATGAATGCCAAGAGAGAAGTCCAGCTCTTCTCCCCTGAAGTGACCGCTCCCATGTAGCACACTTGCCTGGTTTAGCTGTGGCCAGAATTGGCATTTAGTTGTAATAGCTTGGCCACGACTGCCCAGCCATTTATGTCTGTGTGCCAGCCTGGCGTTTCACAGTCTTTCCTTGCACCAGAAAGCCACGGAACTGCCAAGGAACGTCTTTCCTGGTTGACCAGTCAATTTCCTTGGTCATTGATGGCCAGTGTAAACAGGCCGCTGCCATTATTTATGTACCCTGGCTGCCTATTGATTTTCCTCGGTCAGAGATGGCCAAGGTAGCAATGCCTCTGCCAAGCTTTGAGGTTCCATGGTGGTTCATAGGAATTCCCTAATCCACTCAATACAAGCAACAGCCAGTATTCGGGCATGTTGCCAGATCGAAGATAGGGTGAGCCAAGGAATAGCAGGGAATGGCCGCTACGCACTGTTCCGTGGCTCAAGCTCGTATTTTATTGGACCCAGAATGCCCGCTGAAAGCCACTGTTACTCTATAGTTCGTTGAACTTTTTTTCGCTTTCTTTTTTTAATTCGTATGAGCGTTCTCTTAACATATTTTTGGTGCTTTGTGGCACGAGCCCTCGCAGTAGAAAGCGACGTTTCAGTGCGAGATGCCTGTTTTCGTTGGAGACGTAAAAAAGAACACGTTTTTCCCACTGAAAAAGAAAAAAAATATTTAAAAACAGTTTGGATATGAACAGGCCAAACCCGAAATGAACTGGTTGTAGTGGAATTGTACCAGACAAATCGGAAATCGAACTGTCTAAATTGGTCGAACTCGAACTTTGTAACTTTCGCGCTTTTTACCGCCGCCTTTATTTATCCTGGCTTGCACGGACAAGCCGCTTCCAGCGCAAGTGCCCTAGGCGGGGAGCCTCCCACGTGATGTTAGAAAAGCGCGGGAAGACTCCCGCACCCCCAAGTGAATCACGCGCCTGGAATGCACCAGTGCCCCGGGACTGGAGATGATGTTGTGTCCCCACGCGCAGCGCGGATGCCTTGAAACTTGGAGAGCTGCTCACGTGCCAGGACAGGGAGCACGCGGGCCAATCAGCGCGGCCTTCGCGTCCGCTTGAAGCGCCCGTTTAAATCGGCGGCGGCGCAATACAAAAAAAAATAATAATAAAAAAAAAAAAGAACGGATTTGGCGTGGCGCGAATTTGGGTCTTTGTTCCCGCCAGTGCCCGCTGCTGTTCTGCTTGGGGAGGTTAGAAGCTGCTGTGTTTGTGATAGTTTGCCGGTGCCTTGAGTGCACCCTCTGCCGATGGTTCCTGTGGCTGATGACGTTCTCCACCTGTGTTCCACTCGCTTGTGGGCGCAATGGCTGCATCCCAGAACGGCGTGTTCGGAATTCGCTCCGTCCTGATTGCAGCGCGGGCAATGGCGGTCTCTTGTCTGCGCGCCAGCGAGCCAGGTAAGCCGGCTCGACCATTTGGATTCATTTTTGTAATCAGGTGCATGTGAAACTGAAGCTGTTTGCAACCCAATTTGGAACAAGTATGCTAGTAATGCAACCTCCAGTGTATAGATTCAGCTTCAGAGATCCTGCACCACAGTGGTTAACCACTGTGGTAGAGCATCTGGCTGTTGTTACCCCCTTCCTGCCTTCCCAGTCTTTCGTCCGCTATGCAACTTGCGATTGCGAGTTGCATGGCGGACGACGTACTGGGGAGGCAGGAGGGGGGTAACAACAGCAGCATATTTTCATTCCTAGGCCTTGTTTTGCGAAAAGGCTGAACCGCATGTAAGCGATTAAGCAAGCGACGAGCGGCAGATATTCCCCGCAATCGCTCGTCGCGTTGCTCGGTTTTTGGATTTCTAGAGATCGTCGCTCATCGCCTCGGTCGCTTGCTCCCGTTGCTTTCATAAGGTTTGCCGCGTCGCACGAGTGACCGAACGACAACGAAGCGGATCGTCATCGCTCGTCAAATCGCTTAGATGCGGTTTACACTTAATTGCCGCGAGACTGGCACCACATGTGCAATTAGCACACGCTTCCGTATTCTCTCTCATACTGTTTATGGTAGTGCATATTTTTTGTTCGTGGCATTAGTTACATACCGTTTTAGGAGAGACGGGTGAAAATAAATCTGCCACTGTTCTCATTACTGATGTTTATTATTATTTCAGATGCCTTGGGGTACTACGTTAGCCACCACCGGAACCCTGAACTCCAGAAGATGTGGAGAATCTCGCCAACCGCCTGGGACACATCAATAATATCTTGACAATTTTTTTTTGCATTGTACATATGTCTTTATGCTTATTTTCGCGGCCTGCAGTATGTGTTTTTTTTTTGTGGGAATAAACTTTATTTTCTTGATGTTCGACGTGTGTTGTCAATATGACCAGTTAAACTGGTTTAACTGCATGGTGAATTTCTATTGTTTAGCCAAGCTTGGCTGACCACCCGGCCACTAACCTGGCCCATGCTGTATATACAATAAAGAGCCAAGCTTTGGGTACGACTGAGCTTCCCGCCTGGCCCATGCCGTAATTCCAGCGGTGAGCCAGTCCATGGCCACACAGGGAACTGGTGGTGGTCGCCAGACTGGCATACCAGGATGGGGCTGCCTAGCGCCATGGGGCAAAACAATCTAGGCCCAGTGAAACTTCCCCGGCTACCCAGTCTGGCTCAAGCTTGAGCCGGTCGTAATGTGCTGCTTGGGCGCTGTGCTCAAGCACCTCCAGGAACAAGCTGGCCACACGAGTGACCTGCTGTATGCGGACGCAGGACCAACCATCTTCTTCATGGACTCTGTGTACCACTGGTTCATTTTGCATGATACCAGTAACTGCACACAACACATACACCAACGCTACCCAGATGTGCGCCAGTATGATCACCCAGACGACCCTCGTCTGGAGTGGCTCGAGTTTTCATTCCCAGCCTATCTCGAGCAGATCAATAGCACGGCAAGCCCATCACAGTTCCTGACGACAGAAACCTACGAAGCGCTTCTCTTGACAACATACTCGACAGTTGCATGTGTACAACACCTTCTCACCATGGAAGGGTTTGGATTTGTACTGACCAGGAAGTTCAGTAGCGACGCCATTGAGTCCCTGTTTGGCTCATTGAGACGATCTCAAGGGTGCAATGACCAGCTTAGCGTTTGGGATGCAATCTCAGGAATTGAAAAGATCCTGAAAACTGGTCTCATCACAGCTTCCCAGCAGAGCAATGTGTCACATGCTGCCTCAACCTCATCGGGTACGACTTCAGCAATTCGGTGCATACCACCAACAGTGTCAGCTGCCACGCCATTCCAACTTCCACAGAGTGCAGCGGAAATCTTAGAAAAGCTGTCAGATCCCAATGTACAATACCTGCCAAGCCTCGAGCTGTCGGCGACAGTGCACGTTGGGGGCTACATTGCCCGTCTTGTACAAGAACACTTTTTATGCTTCTTCTGCATACCCCTTCTTACAAAGCCGAAGACAAACAGTGCCTTGCAAGGGATCACAAACCACCTGGACCGGGGAGGCCTTTTGTATCCCTCAGATGAACTCGCCCACCTTCTCAATGTCCTCAGGATGTTTGCAGGGGATGTGTTGTCGTACAACCTCAGGAATTGCCAGCCCCTCGAAACTCTTGTGAAGTTTGCACTGCCAGCAGTGTATGACTCTCCTTTGCTGCTCTGCCCAACGAACAACAAAGCTCATCGCCGTGAACTGATCCATCTTGTCTGCAAAAAGTTCTTCAGACCGCTCCTTGTCAACTATGCCTTCTGTCACACAGACAGGAACAATAGATTTAAGATGTTTGCACGAAAGCCTCTATCTCCAAAGTTTCAGAAGGTGAGGTAGAGTGCACGCAAAGGTAGATTAGAGAAGTGTTTTTTTTTCTTGTTCTACCTCTAGTCAAGTGAAACTCTGTTCATATGTATTTTATTTGTCCTTTAATCCTTGGCATTTAGTGATTTTGTATCCGAGTTGGTCTTTCTGCGCAAATTATATGATATATGTATAAAGATCATATTTGTTTCCAATGAGTTTACTGGGTGCCTTTACTCCCGCTAATAATTCCAGCACCTGCTACAAGTCGGTTTTCCCTTAAATTTGGTAAGATTTCCAGCACTCGTCACTGCAACATGACTCGATCAGGTTCCACCAGTAACATAGCACAACACTGCTGCTATATTTTGTGTTGCTAGGGTTTGTTTTAATGCGTTAAAACGCATCAATTATAAAAAAAGGGAGACAAAATGTTGTTGCAAAACTTCTTTCAGCAGAACTGTTGTCCCTTATTTAGACACAGTTCGATCCTTGCTCATCACTGCTCACGACGTAAATTTTTTTTTTATTTACATATTTCAACCTCCTGAAAATTTAGACACGATGCAATATTATCATATGGAAAGCCTTTGACCAGCGCGACTGCGTAATATAGAAAGCCGAACTCTCGACCGACGTTTCACTGCCTTGCCTGACCTTAATTTTGCTCCTTTCTGACGTTCGAGCTTGCAAACCCTGCTGGCCGAAATTATTAATACCGCAGCGCTTTTCCTACTTACGCACAACTCAGGTTAAGATTGCGTTGTAACACAGATACTGCTCCTCATCCGGGGTTCGAGTCCAATCACAGCGGCTCATGGGGTTCTCACCGAGTCGCCGCCGTGCACGCCGATATTTGGCCATTTGGCCGCCGAGCACGTCCGGCGAATCTTCTGCTCCCTTCGGGAAGGCCCATGGGCTTCACCGCACAACACAACATGTACGCCTAGCTGGCGCCGCCACGCGGGAACCACACGCATTTTTGCCGGCCGCCTTTGCATTGCCGGAGCCACGAGCTGACGGGCATTGTACACTTATCTAGGAGGCTCTGCACTATGGCTCCAGCATGCTCGTATCGCCTTTTCATTGTTGTACAGGGCGATTTAGTTTCAAGCTTTACATATATGTCTAGAAAGGTTGTGAAAGCTAAATTAATGCAATTTGTACAGGCGAGTTGTACGGCCAGGCGTACGTAGTATAGGGACCCAATCGTAACGATCAGTCGGATAATTAAATACAATTTGTTAATCAACTTTTTAATTAGTGAAAATGAACATATTATTTCAATTAGCAACTTGCTGAGTCATTGAAAACCAGAAAATCAACTATTTTTAGAAGGGTATAATGCAGGGGTAGCATTTTACCCATTCTGTAAAAACGCTTGATTTGGACGAGTTTCTAGGTTTCAGCTTCTTATCGGAGCGCATCTCTGCGCCCACGGTCCTGTTCCCCAGGGGCTTAGACACGCAACACACGTGTGCCTTGCTTCCCTCCATCCTACGAGGAAACGAGGGGGTGGCTTCGCAATGCGGCCACCGGGCAGCAGGATCGCAGGCGCAAAGGTGCGCTCTGGTAAGAAACCGAAGTCTGGAAACGCGTCCAAATTGATTTTTTTTAAAACGCCTTAAAATGCCGCTCTTGTCTTATATCTTCACATACAAAGTTGATTTTGTGTGTTTGGATGATACTTAGCAAGTTTCTAATTGAAACCATGGATCTATTTTCACAAATTAAAATTTTACGAAACATATTATACTTAAAGGGAAGCTGAAGCGGTTTTGAATTTGAGGAAACACATTAAAATATTCCTTTTGACCTCCAGGATATCAAATATCAAAATTATTTCTCAATTTGGTTAATCGAGGCGGCATAGAATCATTTTGTAACGTACTGCTGGAGGCGCTTCCATGGAGAGCGACGTCAGAAAAGCAGCTTTCGAAATCTTCGCTCACGCATCTTCAGCGCCTATCAAAGCTATGCACGCACATGTTATTTTTTAAAAGGGCAGAAAAATCTGCCACGACTGGTGCCAATGCGGGAGAATATACCTAGAAAACTTGCGATTGGACGCGCGGCCCTTAAGTGACACACGCTTGGCGGCCGAAAGGTCTTCTTACGATGTCACTATTTGTAGGATGTTTTTTTTTGTTTTCACACGATTAGTTATGCCTTTGTGGAAAACGAACGGGATATTCAGATTCGTGGGATAAAACCACACTAGAATGAACCTCCATCTAGTTTTCTGAAAGAAGTCTGGCACTTCTCTGCAATAAGCCAACTGATCATTACGACTTAGTCTTTTATACTATGCCGCGCTGGCCATATAACTGATGTGCACAGGACGCGTAAATGTAGCTTTTACGGCTTCTTTTTTTTTAAAAATGTGTAAAACATACAAAAAAACACTCTGTAGAATGTCGCCCAATACGATACGATTATATGGTTCCTTCCCCGCTTGCATTGTTTAAGAAAGACTTGTGGACATCCAGCGTTTTATTGCAATGCTGGATGTCAGCGAGTCTCTACATCAGTGAGTGGTTTCAAACAAGCATGATGTTTGCACACCAGTAAGCTCTTATCCGAGGCTCACCAGGAGCACTAAGAGCAGAGGCAAAATGTCGTGACCTGGTAAATTTGGTTGCAGGTATTTATTTTTAGAAGAACTGCATGCAGCAAAGCTTAACTTTGCTCAAAAGAAGATAATTAAAAATTCAATACTGAACAATGGTGTCCCTTGAGCTGTCAGACCGAACTCCCACTCTTGCCACTCAGGAGTTCCTAACTTGTGCGTAAAGGATCAGCACAACCCAGATTTGTGCTGCAAGCGCACCTGCAATATAAACGTTGAATAAACATGAGATGAAATATGAGACGTTTACAATAATGTGAAATTAGAGCACAGATCTTGAAGAGGAGGATGGGAGGGTATGCCCCTCCTCCGCCTCCCCCCCTCCTCTTCTGCTCCCTCCCATTTAGCGGGAAATTTCCCTGAATTTAGCGGGAAAAGTTTCCCACTAAATTTAGCGCGGAAGTTGATGTCACATGACCTCAACACAAAGGCAGTTTTCCCGCTAAAAGTAGCGGGGAAAATGACGTCGCATGACAGTGTCACGTCATCCATAAAAAAACTCAGTTTCTCACCTAGACTTAGCAGAAATCTTAACGTCACATGACCGCAACATTAATTCAATTTCCTGCCATGTTTAGTTGGGTAGTTACGCCGACAGCGACGCCGCGAAACGCGGAAACGGGTGCTAAGAGCTGCGCTAAAAACTAAATGCATCAGGTGAAATAAAGTGAACATACTGTAAGAAAAAGAAAAGAGAATCTAAGATACCGCTCTCGGATCCTTCCTATTGTCCGTTCTCAAATTTTTTGATTTCAAATGTTTATCTATTTATTCATACCCAGAGACCCAGGTAGCACACCATGTCGGCCGATACTGGGATTACGTCGGCCAGTACCGGGAGCTGTACGGCGGATCCCGGCCAGGGACGCCGGTAGGAAACCGATCCCGGCCGATATCGGGGACTCGTTGTCTAAACTGGCCAGCGCCAGCCGGAAAGTTCCCGATACCGGCCGACATCGTTTTCTTGCTGTAGTCACCGGCCAGTCTAGCCATGGAGTTTCCGGTGACTGGCCGATATCGTTTTCTTGCTGTAGTCACTGGCCAGTCTAGCCATGGAGTTTCCGGTGACTGGCCGACATCGTTTTCTTGCTGTAGTCACCGGCCAGTCTACCCATGGAGTTTCCGGTGACTGGCCAATATCGTTTTCTTGCTGTAGTCAGCGGCCAGTCTAGCCATGGAGTTTCCGGTGACTGGCCGGTATCGTTTTCTTTCTGTAATCACCGGCCAGTTCAGCCACGGAGTTTTCGGTGACTGACCGACATCGTTTTCTCGCTGCTTTCACAGGCCATTCGAGCCATGCAAGTTTTGATATGTAACCGACATGGCTTTTTCGCTGATATAGAAACTATATATGATCGTCACAAATGACCGTTAGGTTGGACATTCAATTCAATGTTTATTTACCATTTTTTACAATGGCGGGGGCTGGGAAAAAAAGCTGTAGGGACAGCTTGACGAGTTCCCAGCACCACAAAAGTTTCAGCAGCAGCGGCAATGCGAGTTCACACATAGGGTATACATATTAAAAAGAAGAAAAAAAAGATAAAAAGTTATACAATATTAGCTAATGCAGAGAACAGTGGATTTAAAACCAAAAAACAAGCAACAAAGCAAGTACAATACAAATGCAACTCAAGTGTAACCATATCACTCGCAACACAAAAAATAAGACCGCAATTCTTTGGGTGAAAGAGTAGTTATGTCTACGTGCTTTAGGGTTAGCATATTTAGCAACTTCGGGAGAGTTATTTTGATTCTCTGAAGACCATAGTTAGAGCGGGAGTTTTCAATGAACCAAGGTTCAGAACTACGAGTTGGATAATTTGAGCTTTTTTCCTTCAGGGACGCTAGAGAAATGAAACAGTCTCTATTTTTACTGCATTCTATTTTATATTTCATGCATAACTTAAAGTTGTAAATTGTGAAGATTTTCATGACATTTAGATTGCGAAAAAGGGATTCTGTGTGAAAGTCATAGCCGACATTGCAAATTATTCTTAGAGCTTTTTTTTGCAAGAGATGTATTTTTTGAAGGTTCAGTCCTGTGGTCGTCCCCCAAATCAAATGACAATAGTTTAAATGGGAACAAAATAATGACTGGTACAGAAGTAGTTTAACATTGAATGGAAGAATATAAGAATGCCGATACATTAAACCTACCACGTGACTTAGTTTTGATGTGATGTGGTCAACGTGAGCGTCCCAGGACATATTTTCGGAAAAATACACCCCTAGTGTTTTAAATGATCTAACAACCTCAATTGGTGAAGAGTACATTATGATATTGGTCGGAATTTCAACAGATTTGTTTTTAGGTTTAAAGCAAATAGCCTTTGTCTTAGCTGTGTTGATTTTTAGCAAGTTTGCGTTTGCCCATGATTCTAGCTCTGCTAGTACGTTATTC